ATTTTATGTTTTATGGTTTTTTTCCTTAATGTGCTGTAGGTGTTCTTGCCTCAAGTGTTAGGGAATTATTTTTTTTAAAGAAACCCAGATTTACCTCTTTGTCTTTTTGTGTCGTCGTGTTCAACAAAACCACTGCTAGTTGAGCCATGACTTGAATACACTCTTCTCAGGGCTGCTCTTGTGAAGAATTGAAAGAGCTTAAGTTGATTATTTTAACAAAGCTGCTTGAAAGTCTTACAGGGTTTTGTATTCCCTAAATTTATAGCATGCCTATGATGCAAGTAGAGTTCTAGTATATCGAACCTTAGTCTAAAGGAGTCAAACATTGTGACTGGGCTACTCTAGTGACTAGATGACATGTTTGACTGCAGTAAGCTTTAAGTGTTGGAATGTCGACTGCGTCTGGGAACATTTATAGAACAAGCTGTGCTTAAATATTTCATTCTGTATAAAGTACAGAACTCATACATTATATTATAATCAACGTTTTTCACAGTATAGCTCAGACACTGGTCTCTGTGGCTTTTACCTGCATTGTGGTGTCTACGCCTTCTGGAACTCTGAATGCTTGTGATCAGTGACTGTTACATTAAAAACTGGGAATGTTAAAGTGTGCAGACATGGGGTTTTTGTATTTGTGACACTTGTTAGCTCAGACAAGTATGCAATATACCTTCTGGCTAGTGAATGGATGCATTGTTCATTATAGAAAAGTGACTTTAAAAGCAAAACTTGAAAGGTTTGTACTTTTGTGCATTTCTGTAATAGTGAAGTATTCATGTGTTAAGAGTTTTTGGCTTTTAACAAGTGTTTTATTGAAATGTTTGAATTATGACTTGGGTCACAGCAAGAAGAATAAAGTTTAAATAAATCTGGACTGTGTGGTTTGGTTTTTGCAGTCAGATGTTTTATAGGTACTTCAGGTTAGCTGTTTTACACACAGCTATTCTGGTAAGAGTCCCGAAGACTCAAGGCATCTACAGGGCAGTATTTGGTCTCACAGTGTACTGATATGGCCCCACCCCAGATGTTCCATTTCTCATTACTTAAGACATCCAACAGACCTAACTGATCCAGAAGACTTGCTGTTTCAAGGGGGTATATATAGCTGGGTGAGCTAGCCCAGGGATACACATCTGCATGATGAGATCATGGAATGGTCCGTTATCTTCCAAGTATTTTCTATTACCCTGCTGGCTTAGAATCATAAAATAGCAGGGTTTGAAGGGGCCATACGGGTCATATAGTCCAACCCCCTCCTTGATGCGGGATCAGCCTAGAGCATCCCTGACCAGTGTTCGTCTGCCCGCTGCTTAAAGACTGCCAGTTGAGGGGGAGCTCACCACCTCCCTAGGCATCTGATTCCACTGTTGCACACCTCTTACTGTAAAAATGTTTTTTCTAATATCCAGACAGTACCTTCCAGCCCTTAATTTAAACCCATTATTTCGAGTCCTATCCTCTGCTGCCAACAGGAACAGCTCCCTGCCCACCTCTCAGTGACAGCCCTTCAAATACTTAAAGAGAACAATCATGTCCTCCCTTAACACTTTCTCCAGACTAAAAATTCCCAAGTCCCTCAGTCTTTCCTCATAGGGCTTGGTCTCCAGGCCCCCCATCATCCTCATCACTCTCCTCTGTACCTGCTCCATTCTGTCCACATCCTTTTTGAAGTGAGGCCTCCAGAATTGCACACAATACTCCAGGTGTGGCCTGACCAATGCAGTGTACAGCGGAGTATGACGTCTTACTATTTGGATGTTATGCCTCTGTTGATACACCCAAGATCGCATTAGCCTTTTTTTGTCACTGCATCTCACTGGCTGCTCATATTTAACTCGGAAACAGCAGAACCTGGCTGCTGCTCTATTTTCTGCTTCTAACAGGTGGTTTACTCTGATGGTGGAATGTTTTAGTATCCCTTTCTTTAGTATTTCTGTTCTTTCTGTTGTAATCTGAACTCAGGCTATTGAGTTCAGAACTCCAGTGTGAAAATCCAGCTCATTCACGTCAACCCTTAAGACTCATTCTGTAAGCTCGTTTAGTAGGGAATAAGTCCCATTGAACCCAGTGGGATTTATTTCTGAGTATACATACTTTGGATTGCATTTGTGTGAATCTTTTATTGAGAGCATATTGACTTTTAAGGTATACTACAGAGAGTGTCCTGGTAAACTGAAATGTTCTTCCACTGGTTTCTGGATTACCATTTGTCCTATTATCTTGTGCAGGCCTTTTTTTAAGCATATTGTGTATGTACAGGTGGGTCCCATTAGAGTCAGTTTGGTATAGTGGTTAAGTGTGTGGACTCTAATCTGGGTTTGATTCCCCACGCCTCCACTTGCAGCTGCTGGATGACCTTGGGCAAGCCATTGTTCTGTCAGAGCTGTTCTCTCAAGGACAGTTCTCGAGAGCTCTCTCAGTCCTGCCTACCTCACAGGGTGTCTGTTGTGGGGAGGGGAAGGGAAAGGAGTTTGTAAGCCACTCTGAGTGAAGAGCAGGGTATAAATCCAATGTCTTCTTCTAGAGTATTTGGGGAGTCCAGCAGTACAATCTTACACATTTGAGCTTTGCCTAGAAATGGCACTGACTGTCTCCTGTATTTTGCTTCCTTCTCATGTTTCAGATAGATTTAATGTTTTCAGTACTTTGCTCAAGCATGGGTGAGTTGGGAGCTTGAGAGATCACCATGGTTGAAACAGGCTGAGGAATATACTGCTTGTAGATTGTAACAACTTCTCTGTCAGGTATGCTGTGGCTGAGAGAGGCAGGTAGGTTTAGGTGTATGTAACTTTTGTTCCTGAAGTGTTGTTATTAAATAATGTAATGAATCTCCCTAAAAGATACCAGGTTAGGTCATTATAGAAGAAGAAGAGAAGAGATTGGATTTATACCCCGCCCTCCACTACCCAAGGGAGTCTCAGAGCGGCTTACAAACTCCTTTCCCTTCCCCTCCCCACAACAGACACCGTGAGGTGGGTGGGGCTGAAAAAGCTCTGACAGAAACTGCTTTTTCAAGAACAGCTGTGCCAGAACTATGGCTTGCCCAAGGTCATCCAGCAGGTACAAGTGGAGGAATGGGGAATCAAACCCGGTTCTCCCACTTAACCACTACACATGATTACTATAGCCAGAATTCACCATGCTAGATGCTGGAAAAGTAAACTTCTCCAGATATTTAGGATATAGACAAATTAAGGAAACATATTTTAATTAAAATAACTTATTTCCAGAAAGGTAAATATATGTGTACACACACACATATCGGGGCCACGGTGGCTTAGAGGTTAAGACACTGAAGCTGCAGACTGGAAGGTCTGTAGTTCGGCAGTTTGAGACCCTGGTGCGCCATAACGGAGTGAGCTCCTGTCTCTGGCCCCAGCTCCTGCCAACGTAGCAGTTTGAAAGCAGGAAATTGCAAGTCGATAAATAGGTACTGCTTTGGTGTGAAGGTATCAGCATTTTATGTGCCTCGGCATTTAGTCATGCCGGCCACATGGCTACGGAAACGTCTTCGGACAGCGCTGGCTCATTGGTTTGGAAACGTAGATGAGCACTGCCCCCTAGAGCTGGATTCAACTAGCTATCGAGCAAGGGAAACCTTTACCCTTACCTTTAAATATATAAACTCAGTATAGTTATCCTGTATTCAGAAAATATAATCAGGTAAATAGTTTTGAATATTTCATGTATTATCAGATTTTCCTTTCCCCCCCCAAATCATTGTATTATATAGAGGTTTTTCTTTTCTGTATAAGATGCTTTACATTAAAAAAAAGATTTCTGATGTTCTGGTGTTCTCAAAATTGTGGTTGTTTTCAAGGGGAAAATTTTAGCAGCTGGCAAGTCGGAAAGGAAGAAATTGGCAGAGAAGCTAAAAGCTCAGATCCTGCCACCTTCTTTGCTCAGCCTCCTTGTGAGTCCCCTATCCCATGCCACTTTAGGGTTGCCAACCTCCAGGAGGGGTTCTGGAATTACAACTGATTCCAGAGATCAGCTCCCCTGGAGAAAATGGCAGCATTGGAGGTTGGACTGTACGGCATCACATCCCCAGCTCTGTCCCCTCTCTAGGGTCTGCCCCCAAGTCTTCAGGAATATCCTGGAATTGGCAACGCAACACCTATTGAAACGGGGGGGGGGGCCATAATCAACAGCGTTTTGTTTCAAGTGGGGCTCTATCCCATGCCATTTAAAGACTAGATGAAAGGCAAACAAGCCATCAGTATCACAGTTCTAATTGTGCTCTTACCATTTGCGGTAGATCGTCTGTTCTGCAGCCTTTTAAATGAGGATTTCCGCCGAAAAATGGTTTTCAACTTTCGGAATGCCTCTAGAATTTGTCTTTGAAACTACTACCCATTGTCGAAGGTTTCAAAGTAGCGCAACACAAGCGAACCCGCAATGCTTGTGCCTTTAGAGTCTAAATGATATGTCGATACAAGGGCTAAAGATACCTCTGCTTTAAGGGTTGAATTTCTGCCTACCACAAGGACAGCCTGCTTATTTGTTTAACTTATGGGAATGATAAATTCAAAGCATTGCAACGAAAGTGAGCTTTATGGCTTTCCTTTTTTTTAAAAAAATTGAGTTTTATATGGCTTTCCCTTTTTAAAAATTTGAGTTTTTATATGAGTTCCTATCTATTCCCAGTACTTTTGTCTTGCACGTGGACGAAAACCATTAAGACCTCCGCACTCATTCATTGTACCTTTGCGGAGTCCACGGATACGGACGTGACGCGTCCCTCTCTATTTCCGGCTCGTACCCACACTAGGCTGTGCTTTGCTCTTGTAGAGGAACAGGTCTTTTGTTCGTAGATTAAAATTCCTGGTTATTTTGGTTGCAATCTCCTTGAGTGGTAAAAATGAAACCCGCTTGTAGGATGCAAAATTCAGGGGGGGTATGTCGTGTTAGCTGGTTGGGGTGGGTGGTGGAATCTTGTGGCAGCTTGAACAGTTATTAAACCACAAGCTAGAGAGCCTGCTTTGTCAGATACACTAACCAGATTTTTTGCAGAAATATTTTTACAGGAGAGAGAGAAGCGAACCACCTATTAAAAGGCTGTGGCCACTGCAGAACTCAGAAGTCTACAAGATAAACGGAATCAGAGTCCTTTGGGCTGCAACTTGCAAGCATGTTTCTGATTCCTGGAGTAGGGGTCGAAACAAAAAAAGAAGAATGAAAAGCAAATTATCTAAAATTGTTAGCGACCGAGTGAATTACAACAGTGCCATGTAGATCAGATACTATCTATCGTCCCCGTGGAGAAACACGTGGGATTCGATTTAGGACTATCCTGAAGCGGTATAGTCTAGTACATATGGCCCTTTACAACGTAGTCATATGGCGCCTTTAAGACCAACATAATTTTATTCAAGGTATAATCTTTCGTGTGCATGCACACTGCTTCAGATGTACCCTTCTGAGAGTAATTAACTGACAGTACTTAACTTACTAATTACTCTCAGCATTCCACAATTAAGCGGGGTACATCTGCCCATCAATCTCCGATGTGGATATATGTATTTCCTCAAATAACATACGTCCCCCCCCCGGAATCAAACCCAAGCAAATGGTAACCATATAAACTAAGCTTGTTATCCCTGTTTGGTCCTTGCTTCTGTTAAGCATCTTCATTATGTTGTATGCTAATTTGCTGCTCTCCCTCTACCTATATGTATGGACTGGTAACTTCCACTTCATTGTATCTGAAAAAGGGTGCGTGGTCTTAATGAGCTTGGACATTGTCACGCATACGTGAGGTCGACAGAACCCTGAATACGATTAAGAAAGGCGCATTACTCTACCTCTATGCGCTTCCCTTCCTACCGTCACCCTCTTCGGCGTGCCGGGCGTCATGACGTCACGAAACAGCTGGCTATAAATACTCGCTCTCCAGGCGGGTTTGGCCTTTTGAGAAGCCTTGGCAAAATGGCGCCGGTAAGTTTCATTGCAAAGCCGTCGCCGGGGGACGCGTGTCGTGGGTGGCTGGAAGGCGGCCACTGAGCAAGGAAGACAGACTGTTGGTCGTTCCCTTTCGCTGCTCTCGTGTTTTCTGTGCTTGCGAGGGAACAGGGTTAAGGGGAAAGCGCTCACGGCCCACACGTGCTAGGGGAGACTGTGACGTCAGATGCGCCCTGGTCGTCGCCCGCTGCTTCTACCTGGTCCTGCCTTACAGGGTTGTTGTGATGCAGAGAAGTGGGCTGCACGCACAGTTGAGCGGGATGGGATCAATGCGCCCTCTAAGTGTGGGGTCTTGTGAGCAAAAATTCTCCTTTGTGAGTTACTGGGATTAAAGTTGTGAGCGAGTGACTTGGCTACTGCATAAATGAGTTTGCTCTGGAGCCCTCCTTCCTGAGCCAAGGCAAAAATGTGTGAGCTGGAGGCTAAAAAATCGTGAGCTGGCTCACACTAACTCAGCCTAGAGGGAACACTGGATGGGATGGGGTGTGCTCTCAGTGCTCAGGCCCAAGTGGAGCATAGTCTGCCCTTTATCAGGCTTTTTAAAAATCTTACAAAGTCATCTTTCCCTCCACGTGTTGGAAGTTCTCGTCTGTATATCGAGGTGCCCTAGTTCTATGTTTTTTTATAATCCATGCAGGCCCTAGCCAGTGTATTACTTATTACTCTTAGATCCTGTCCTTACTCCAAGGAGCTTGGTGTGGCATACAGTAGTCTCCGTGCCTACCTGTTATCCACCCAACAACCCAGTGAGAGAGGTTAGGTTGAGAGGGTGCAGGTGGTCCTTGGTGACCCAGCATGTTTCATGGAGGAGTGTGCGTTTGAACGCGGGTCACCAGCTGTCACTCTGGAAATTCATGGAAATGGGGGGGAGGGGTGGCTGGGGAGTAGAGAGAACTCAATGGGATGTGATCTTGTAGCACGTGATGTCACAGCATGTCAAAGGTCAATTCTTTCCTGTCAGGTCATACTTTCCCACCAAAATTCAGAGTTTGAATTTCCTACACCATGTTATTCAATTAAATTTCCCCCCCTCAAAATTGTCTTGTGGGTTTTCATGGTGTTAACAGAGGAAGGGCCCTCACCTGGGTAGCCCAGTCTTATCAGATTTTGTAAGCTAAGCAGGATCGGCCCTGGTTAGTATTTGGATGGGCAACCACCAAGGAAGTCCAGGGTTGCAACACAGAGGCGGTCAGTAGTGAACCACCACGCTCTGTCTCTTTGCCTTGAAAATCCTACAGGGTCACCATAAGTCAGCTGCAACTTGATAGCATTTTCCACCACCACACTCTGTCCCTGTTATTCTATAGTACTTCTTTCTGTAGTTTGTTTGGCTCTCTGGAAAGCGCAAATACCCTTATCTAGGTAAATACTGTGGCACAAGAATGAACACACAAGAGTGCTTGATTCAGAGTGTGATGTTCCCTTTGCTGCAGTGTCATAGCCTCAATTTGCTAATTTGTTGGAAAAGGTTGATTGTGCATGATGTGGTGTCAGAATGAAGGTAGGGTTGATAATATTTTCTCTGACCTGTGTTCTGGTGGCTTTGCATTCTCTTTAATTTATTGATTGTGTAGATACTCAGCAGTTTGCTTTGCTAGTTATCAGGTCTTTCCTTTGAGCGTTGTGCGAAGGAAGCAGAAAACTGGTGTTTGGTTGTCCAGTAGGAAAGGTGAGGGATCCTACTGTCCTAGGATACATAGGAGGTTCAGGCTGAAATATACAGGGACTTAGGGATATCAGTGTCTGCTCAAGCATACTGTAATTATTCTATGTGTGATCTGCCCTGAGTCCAAGTGAGAAGGGCGGACAGTAATTAACATAAGTAAATGCATAATTAATGTTATAAAATAAATGTTATCATTAATGGTGTATCTGGATTACTTTTTTTTTTTAGAAAAAAGATAAAAAACTGAAGAAATCAACTTGCAAATATAACCTTGATCTAACCCATCCTGTAGAAGATGGAATATTTGATTCAGGAAATTTTGTAAGTCTTTCCGTTCTTCACGTGTTTCTGGTCTGGGTTAAATGGTGGGGAAATGGCAGTATGTATTAAACTTTAGTAAGGTCGATGTAGTCTGATTCCTTTTAAAGGAAAGGAAGGGTGTATATAAATTCTTGAATTCATACTTGAATTCATAATGAAATATTTACCTGTTGGGCAAGCCTGCCTAGGGGATAAGAACAGAAACCTTGTCATTATATATCAACACCAATCCTTGTCTCCTCAGCATCATCAATTTTCTGCAGTTTCTGTTGTCAGGACAGTGGCCCTGGCATACTACAAGCCTGAATAATTAATTGTCCTGGCCGAGCAGCTCTGTTATTTTATAGAGATTTCTTCATTTCTGAATGACTACATAACATATGGAGTTGGTGTATTTAATCCCTCCTACATATAAATAAATTGAAAATATCATATGGCATTGTGTGTAGAATAGCCAGGAGATCCTTACATTGTCTGGGAGCCACAAGTTCTAGCTCTTAGTGTTGTGCAGTGGCAAGATAGGCTTCAGGAGGAGGAGTGGGGAATCGAACCCAGTTCTCTGGATTAGAGTCTTCCACTCTTAACCACTACACCAAACTGGCTCTCCTGCATATAGAGATTGTATATGAACCAGCTTTACACTGAATCAGGCTTTAGGGCTATCAGGCTTGGTATCATTTAGTTGGATTGGCAGTATTGGTCTTAAGGTGGCAGTGTTCTTTCGCAGAGTGATGTGTGTGGGGTTTTCAAGAAAAATATAAACTGAAACTGTTCCCACAACTCTAGATAGAATGTGTGCATACTAAGTTTGGCTAATGTGTAGTAAACAAAATTTTACTCCCATATTAATTTATGTCCCAGTAGCAGTACATACTGTAACTGAAATATTTGATTAAGGAAAAGGTGAATCAAGTGCCATTTGAATGTTACACTTAAATAAGTAGAATGTATTTCTTTTGGAATAATCCTTGTACAAATTTAAAGTTCAGTACAGTATGTATTTCCCCTATATTGTGTACGTGTAATAAAAAAGAAACCCTAAAGCATGGAAAACTTGTGACCGAATAATTTTAATGTACCCAAAGACTGCATGGTGTGTTCTGGGTGTGGTTCCCACTTATCTATAAACATTAATTAGAAATTTGAAACTGTCAAGTTGGCCTAATATTGTATTGGCAGTGGCACCCATTCATTATTATTAATTTTATAAAACATCTTCAGAGCCTTCAATTCCTAGTCCCTGTTTTCGCATTACCTTCTATCTGGTTCTTTGACTGGAGATGCTGGGGTTTGAACTTGGGTGCTCTATCACTGAACCAAGTACCTCTGTATCTACCTTACAAATATTTTGAATCCTGGAAGGCCCTATAATAGATATTGAGGCATATTGTATCTCCTGTAATTCATAAATAGCCTGGTTTGGGGAGTACTTATGATCGCTTCAGTTCGTGTCTTTGCCTCTTGCATGATGTAATTACATTGTGTGACCGTAATAACAATGACTGTCGGGCTAGGGTCACTTCCCTAGTTCCACACCTAGGGCACCATTCCCTAGTGTTGCATTTTTGTTCTCTGTTGAATTAGGAACAGTTCCTGAAGGAAAAGGTTAAAGTGAATGGAAAAACAGGAAACCTGGGAAATGTAGTTCACATTGAACGCTTAAAGAACAAGATCACTGTGATGTCCGAGAGGCAATTCTCGAAAAGGTGAGCCTTTTTATTCTAGATGGTCGTTTCCCCCCCCTTTCTGTTTCTAATCTGATCCTGAAGTGCTGGCACAGGTAACAGTCTGAAACATGTATAAATGTGGCTAAAGGTATGTAATATGGCAAAGTAGGAGCTGCAGTGGCTCAGATGGTTAAGACGCTGAACTGCAGGCTGTGGAAGGTCAGTAGATCAGCAGTTCGAGACCTGAGTGTGCCGCATGACAGAGTGAGCTCCCGTCTCTAGTTCCAGCTCCTGCCAACCTAGCAGTTCAAAAGCAAGAAATTGCAAGTAGATAAATAGGTACCACTTCAGTGGGAAGGTAACAGCGTTCCGTGCCCCTTGGTGTTTAGTCATGCCAGCCACATGACCACGGAAACGTCTTCAGACAGCGCTGGCTCTTCGACTTTGAAACGGAGATGAGCACCGCAACCCTAGAGTCGGATTCGACTGGCTTTCGAGCCAGGGAACCTTTACCTTTACTTGCCTTTCACTTAACAAATTCTCAGTCTGCTCCTTGTTCTGTACTGGAATTGCATCAACCTTTGCTGTCAGAAAGAGGAAGATAAGCTAAGAAACTGAAGCAATTCAGTTGTGCTCAGTCTCTCTGTTAGATTTACTAACAAATTTGTATTCCTAGGTGTAATGATTCCTTGTTTGAGTGTGTGTGTGTGTCTCTTTAAAAGTTTGGTTGCATGGCTTAAAAATTCCTGGTGGCAGCAGAAAATACCCGGTTAAACAAAATAAAGAGCACTTTTAAAGGGAAACTAGTCCTCCTCTATAAGGAGGGCTTCACACTAGGCAAACTTTTTTTGGGGGGGAAGGGCTTGCTGTGATATTTGTGTAATCTTGTGGATGGTTTATTTATTTATTTGTGTAGTCCCATGGGTGGTTTAAGCATGTAATTATTTGGTATTTTGAGAATCAAGGTCTTCCTTTGAAGTACCTTGGATTAATAGAAGAAGAATATTTTTCTTCATGGCTTGGATGCACTAGGAACATTTCTGTGAACAAAAGGATTTCTGCCCGTGGAGAGTGGGTTTCTCACTTCAGGTAGCGTTTGGGGCTGCAGTGGGAACAGAGAAAGTGATGCTACGTGGGTGGAACTGGAATTCCTTCTGTCCGTGAAAGCACCCCGATGGATCTGAGACCATGTCCATGTCATTCTCAGTAATCCCCTGTAAAGTGGGTATTGTTTGACCCTTCATTGAAGATAGAGGGGCTGAGGGAATAGTGGCTTACCCAAGGCCAGACACCAACTTCATGAGGAAGAATAACTTTTCAATTGGGGGCTTCTTGATACATGATTCAGTTACTAAGACACCCTACTGGACCTCGCTATAATTAAGGCTCTGTCTAGCTTGTTCTTATCCTTTTATTAGTCTAGGTCGGGGTCCCTAGCCTCTTTGAGGCTGCAGGCACCTTTGGAATTTTAAGCAGGGGTCAGGGGTGAACGCCACCACAAACTGGTTGTCACAGGGAGGCGGGGCCAATCGCAAATAGCTGCCTCCAGAGGCAGAGCCAAATATAATACCTCCCTCCTTACATCTCCTGGGAAGATTGAAATCCTGAAGGAGGAATGGAACTTACACACCAAGGAAAGCCCAGTGGCTTACCAGTCCTCCTCCTCCAGTGGAAAACCCTTTCTTTTAATGAGGGAAGCCTTACAGTGGTGCCACCAACTTTCTGAGAAGCTCAGAGGGTGCCAAGGGAAGTACTGGCCGGTGTCCTGGTGCCCATGGGCACCATGTTGGGGAACCCTGGCCCTAGGTACTTGCTGTAGGCTTTTTACTATCCTTTAAGAATGATCTTTAAGAATGGAGCTGCGGTGGCTCAAGTGGTTAAGACGCTGAACTGCAGGCTGTGGAAGGTCAGTAGTTCAGCAGTTCGAGACTCGAGTGTGCCACATGACGGAGTGAGCTCCCGTCTCTAGTTCCAGCTCCTGCCAACCTAGCAGTTCGAAAGCAAGAAATTGCAAGTAGATAAATAGGTACCACTTTGGTGGGAAGGTAACAGCGTTCCGTGCGCCGGCCACATGACCACGGAAACGTCTTCGGACAGCGCTGGCTCTTCAGCTGTGAAACAGAGATGAGCACCGCAACCCTAGAGTCGGACTCGATTGGCTTTCGAGCAAGGGAACCTTTACCTTTTAAGAATGATCTCCTACTAGGTTGTCTTGGGAAAAAGTGTAGTATTCGGATTACATCCTTCGGTTAAACCTCTGCTGTTGTGTTTTAAAGGTACCTGAAGTATCTCACCAAGAAGTACCTCAAGAAGAATAACCTGCGTGATTGGCTGCGCGTGGTTGCGTCTGACAAGGAGACCTACGAGCTGCGCTATTTCCAGATCAGTCACGAGGATGAAGAGTCTGAAGCTGAGGAATGAGCACGAGCTTTTATTTGGGGGGCGTTATGTTTCTTGATAAGCAGAGTGTACCAATAAACCCATCTATTTATGAGAATGTGTTACCTTATTACCAAACAAATAATAGGTATGCTGAATTAAACCTGTAATCCTAGAGGGCTTCTGAGATTTCCTTACACTTCAGAAATTGCCTTGCCCTGGCCAGGATAGGCCAGGCAAGCCCGATCTCATCAGATCTTGGAAACTAAGCAGAGTTGTCGGTGGTTAGTACTTGGATGGGAGACCTCCTTGGAATACCAGGAGGCGGGGGCGGGCTTTGTTCAGCCACCTCTCTGAATATCCTCCAGGCAGCCAGTAGGGGTCAGTTACTAGAGGGTCGCCATGACTTCCAGGTGCAGACACGCACAAATGCAAATGCCCCCCTCAAATAAAAGAAGAAGTTGCCTTAAAAGCCTGTCCTGATGAACTGTAATTCGTCTCTTGCGATCAAGGTCTATGTAACTGAGTGTGTGTCTCAGTTGCCTTTTTCACATAACAAAGCCCTTAATAGCCATTGTATTGTATGTTAGCACTGGGCTTGGCGGCATAGCCTCCCACATTAGAGAAGGGCTCCTCGCATTGGAGAAATGTGTCGCCATTAGCAGAGCACAGTGGCAGGGTACACCCTATTGCTTCTTGTGCACATTGCAGTTATGTTTAAGACTTCTGACCAGTTCATTAAATAATCATGTCTCCAGTGAACATGTGAGTACAGCTGTCTGAAGTTGCTAGTCTTGAAACGGTTTTCTCAGAATTTTGTTACAAGCGTAGTGTAGCACACTCCTGATTCACAGACTTCGAGAGCATTCCTAAACAGGTTTACTCAGGACAAGTATTACCAGGCAAAGTCGTAAAAGTTGTACTCTAGGTGATGCAGTGACAAAAAAGGCTAATGCAATCTTGGGGTGTATCAACAGAGGCATAACATCCAAATCGCAAGGTGTCATAGTCCTCTGTACACTGCATTGGTGAAGCCATACTTGGCGTATTGTGTGCAGTTCTGGAGGCCTCACTTCAAAAAGGATGTGGACAGAATGGAGCGGGTGCAGAGGAGAACAACAAGGATGATCAGGGCCTGGAGACCAAGCCCAGTGAGGAAAGGCTGGGGGACCTGGGAATGTTCAGTCTGGAGAAGAGGAGGTTGAGGGGGGACTTGACTGCTCTCTTGTATTTGAAGTGCTGTCGCTTAGAGGAGGACAGGGAGCTGTTCTGTTGGCAGCAGAGGGTAGGACTTGCCATAATGGGTTTAAATTAAGGATGGGATTAACACATGGAATTCACTGCCACAGGAGGTGGTGGTGGTGGCGGCAGCTGGCATGAACAGCTTCCAGATGGAATTTGACAAACATGGAGGCTGGAGCAGAGCAGTGGTCCATCAGTGGCTGGTGTTAAAAAAACTAAGTAATCCAGTACTATTAAAAGAGGTGAGGGGGTTGCCCCCCCCCCCAGCACCAGAGCATCACTTGCTCCAGAGACCAAGAGTTCCTTCTTATCTATAGCCACTAGCCACCAGTGTTAATCCATGTGTTAATCACTGTTTGGGTGAAGAAGTACTGCCTTTCATCTGTTCTAACCTGACTGCTCAGCAATTTCATTGAGTACCCATGAGTTCTTGTCTTGTGAGAAAGGGTGAAAAGTACTTCTTTCTCTACCTGCTCTATCCCATGCATAGCCTTGTAAACCTCTTATCATATCACCCCTCAGTCATTGTTTCTCAAAGATAAAATCCCCAAGCGCCTTAACCTTTCTTCATAGGGAAAGTGTCCTCTTATCATTGTAGTTGCCCTTTTCTGCATTTTTCCATTGCTATAAATATTCTTTTCTAGGTGTGAGTGGTCCAATGCGGTTGCACCATCAATTTATAGAGGGCAGGGCCTGTATAAACGTTGTTCCTGTTGGGTTTCTGTGTGGCACTGTGGCATGCTTGTTCTCATGGCAAACAAGCACCTCCCAAGACAGTTCATTTTCCCTGGGAGAGTCTGACTGCTGGGTGCTGCCTGCTTGCCTGCCTTAAGTGCTGCTGGCTGGGTTTCCCCTTTAGAAACAATGGGGGTAACCTGTTTGGGTGCCCATAGAATTGGGTCCACTGGTCCAATTGCTTTGGGACATGGGGGTTTATGCGGGGAGAGGCTCCCGAAGCTACCCTGAAAATTTGGAGCCTCCCCCTCAAATCCTCTCCCCTCCAGAGCCACTAACAGCACCATGGGAAAAGTTACCATAGAGAACAATGGAAGGGATGGGGGCAACCTGTTTGGGAGCCCATAGAATTGGACCCCCTGGTCCAATGTTCTTGAAACATGGTGGGTATCTTGGGGAGAGGCTCCAGCAGCTACCCTGCGAGTTTGGATCCTCTCCCTCAAACCCCCTACCCTCCAGCCCCCAGAATATACCCTATGTTTTTGTAATTGACTTCAATGGCCCATAGGATATAATGGGGCCGAAATTGACATTCGGCTGGCAGAAAGACTCCCTAATCCACTTGTACTGCCGAAATTGACATGCCAGAGTCTCTGCCAGCTGAAATGGATTCTTCCCGATTTGGCTGAATTGGGCTGAATTTTATTATTTTTTTTGCACACCCTTACTTGTTAAGGATGCCCTAGGCTGATTCTGCATCGACCAGTGGGTTGGACTAGATGGCCTTTATGGCCCCTTCCAATCCTATGATTCTATACTCATATCCGTGATGGGGTGTTTTATTTATTTAATTCATTTATACCCTGCCAGTCTACCCAGTGTCTTACATCATTCTCCTCTTCATTTTATCCTCACAACAACCCTGTGAAGAGACACTGCTGAATTGCAACTAATAACGAAGCTCAAGACAATGCATCCAGCTGGACTGAATAAAGACCTAGGTTTCTTGTCTCATTACTAAGGCTGATTTCTTCACACCTACTACCTCTCTGCATATCACACCTAATCCAATCACACCTTCTGTTGTCATTTGCCTGCTAATGTCATTTGGCATCTGAAATCTCTCCACTTTCCAGTATATAGGACAGATGAACTCTCATTCTACCTGTATCTGAAGAAGTGAGCAGTGACTCATGAAAGCTCATACCCTGCCACAAATGTTGTTAGTCTTTAAGGTGCTAATGTTTTCTACAACAGCCCTGTGAAGTAGATTATGTTGAGAGTGTGTGACTGACTCAAGGTCACCCAGTGAACGGGGATTTGAACTTGAGACCCCCAGATTCCAGTCTGACACTGTAACCAGTACACCATGCTCATGTCTGAGCCTTGTTTAACTTGGACAGCTGGCACTTGTGTGCGTGTTAAGTGCTGTCAAGTCTCTTCTAACTTATGACATCCCTATTGATTAATGACCTCCAAAACCTCATTAGCAGCTTTGCTCAGGTCTTGCATACTGAGAGCTGTGGCTTTATTGTGTCAATCCATTTCATGTTAGGTAGCTAATATGCAAACCTAAACAGCATGATAAAAAGTAGAGACATCACCCTGCCAACAAAAGTCCGCATGGTCATCCAACTGCAAAGTTCACCTGAAGAAATAAAGTATGAGAGCTGAAATCACTAGTAAGTCTCAGTACTTTTCACACACACAGCAATCCATGATGCACAGCAGCAGTGACTAGTTTGCAAACGGAGCAAGCTGTCCCAAGAAGTTCAGCCCTTTCACAACCATGGAGTTTTTGCAATGCTGCCTGCTGTCATGGGTGTTAAGGGTTCCTTCAGAAGCACGATCTCATGCCTTAGGCCTGGCTGAGAGGGTAAAAAAGAGGGTGGAAGGAAATATTAAGTGGATTGTCCTCTTAGGTGGAGGGTTTGGTCCTTCTGGATAATTTTGGTATGTGGGGAGGGAGGAGAACACCTGCCATATATCCCCTCCCCCCAAGCTTGATCTACCCCCGAGAGATCTGTCTGGGGCTTCAGGGAAACAACTGCTTGATCTGGAGGGGCAGTCATATTGGTCTGTTGCCACAAAAATAAAAGGGAGTCTTGTGGCACCTTAAACACTAAGCTTGCATCTGATGACATGGGCTCTAGCTATGAAAAATGTCATACTGGAATAAAAACCTTTGTGAGTTAAGAACATAAGAGAAGCCAATGTTGGATCACCCATCCAGTCCAACACTCTGTCGCACAGTGGCAAAAAATCCCAGGGGCTATCAGGAGGTCCAGCAGTGCTCCCCCCCCCCAAGCACCAAGAATACAGAGCATCACTTGTTAAAGTGCCCCTAGACTCATGTTTGTTCTACCTGACTCTTTGAGAATAAAAGAGCTGGATGCTACATTGGGGACTTCCACTTTTCCCAAAGGCATGAAATCCAGCCATTTGATAGAACTGAAATACGTAGTCCGGCATTGAATTTATTTTTTGTTTCAAGGCTTAGTTCAGTAAGCAATGTCTGGACCACTGGTTGGCAGTATTGCACCATAGTAGTTATCAAACAGCTCAGAAGGCGGACTTCAGGAGGGTATCCTTCTGAACACATACAAGCAATTCTGTGTATTCAGATGCAGGTGTGATTTTTCCCTTTTTAAAAAGCGTTTGGGTTCAAAGACTGATAAACATGACTCCTGCATGGGGGTTAGGTAACAGTAGGCACATCGTACACAATCTATTTGTAGAGGGACATCACCAGCAAATTACATCTGAAGCCCTTGTCCTTCTGCCATTGTGGTTCTTATCCTTTCATCCGCTTCATCCTACCAAGCAGGGCTATTTTTGGGCAGGAACACACAGGAACAGAGTTCCAGCTGGCTCCTGAGTTGGCCACACCCAGCAGGGACTCATTAGCATAATAGGCCACACCCAACGGCAGGAACTCATTAGAATTGGCTACATTAGGGGTGTGTGGCCTAACATGCAAAGGAGTTCCTGCTACAAAAAAAGCTCTGGGTTTTGACAACAAGGTAAATAGAATAAGGAGCAAAAGGTGGGTGTGGCTGGATGACCACACTTCTGGTAACATGGGGGTGTGGCCTAATATGCTAATATGCTGTGCTGTCAAGGGTGTGGCCTTGCTAATGCGTTCCTGCTGGGCTTTTTCTACAAAAAAAAGCCCTGCTACCAAGTATACAACATTGT